AAAAAAAAAAAAAAAAGGGAGAAAAGAAATGAAGTGATCAATAAAAATCAGTTTTGTAATTAAAAGCCAGAAATAGCTCCAAACGGGGCTCCAGCCTCCTCCTTTTCAACTCTTGCTCTGCACATTACACAGAAGTGCACAAAGTAGCCCAAGACAGGAGAATTTTCCATATTCCTAAAACATGTCGACCAACTCAAAATGGACGCCTCTTTTTTTTTTTTCTTGCGTTTTAACTACTGCTTATCTCTTTACTACTAGTACTGAAATAATTCTTTCCCCCAGCAAGACATCAGAGAATCCGACCTCATTATCAAAACATGCATTTTCTGACTCTATGCAAAAGAAAATGGATGTTATATCCCCAGCCGCCAGTATTTTTCAGCTAACGCAGACACTTTTTTGATGTTTAGATAGTGCATCATAAAAACAAGAAGAAATACAAACACAACTGAATCGATCTGTTCCTTACTTGTTTCTCGTTAAGAGCTGCTATTCTCGATTGCCTTTCATGGATTTGTTTCTTAAGATCCCCGTTCTGCAAAAACGGCAACAAGACGCATATTAAAGGTAAAATGCAAACTAACCCCGTGATGAATAAACTTGCGAGCTAGAAATTGTTCAAAGGCAAAACCATTCCACCGAAGCCGTACGGAAGCATGCACACACAAAACACCCTCCTTAGCAAGAAAGCTCAGTGCAGACTACAAAATGAGATCTCTTACTGATAAAGTTTCTCGTCCTGCTGTCCCAGCACAACTGCGCTTATTACGGCAGGGATAAAATACTGAAGAAGAGAAAAAAACAAAACAAAACAAAAAAAGGATCTGCATTTACCTGTGGATCTTGCTTCATCTGTGCAACTAGTTTCTATTAAAAAAAAAAAAGTCTCCCCACAAAAAAGGAGGAATTAGAAACTGTTTCAAGTTTAATGGATTTTTTTAAATGTATGTATGTGTGTGGACGGGGGAGGGAGGGGGGTAAGGAACAAAGAGGCAAGTAAACACTGCGAGTCAGTTTCAAGCAAAGCTCATAAATATTCAAGTCTCGTCCTAATCTCTCCAACACACACACACACACACACACACACACTCACTCACACTCACGCCAGCACCGACTGCAGCGCTGACTCCGCATCTGCACCACGCACACACACAAAGTCATGCGAACAAGCCGGCAGAGCGGCTGGGGGAGCGCTGGGCACTGCGGGGGAGCCGGGGTCCCGCCGCCCCTCCCCGGGCGGCCGCGGCCCCGTCCCTTTACCTGGTGACACTGCATTTCCACTCGCAACGCCTCCCGACAGCCCTGCCGGGCGCTCTCACATCCCACTCAAGTTTGTTTGCTGCCTTGTTTTTTTTTGGTTTTTTTTTTTTTTTTTTTTTTTTTTTNTTTTTTTTTTTTTTTTTTTTTTTGGGTTTTTTTTTTCCTTTCTTGCTTTTTGAAACAGACCCGACAGCCAGCCGCCCCTCCCTCAGCGGAAAAATGGGAGAAAATAATTTTTTTAAAGTAAGTCAAAAAGACCAAAAAAAAATTTTTAAAAAAGGGAAAAACAAAGCGAAACAGAAAAAAATTAAAAAGGAGTGGCGGCACCAAGAACAAGACGGGCAGGACAGCGGGCAGACACAAGTTCTCGGCGCGGTGCACGGCAAGTTCTTCGCCTCTTTGCGGGGCACACGGACTCGTCACTCACTTTCCGCCGGGAGTGGGGGGCGGCCCTCCCCGCCCGCGCTGCCCCCCCTCACACACACACACACACACACCCGGCCCGCTCGGCCTCCGCCCCGCCCCGCGTCACCGCCCCCCGCCGGGGCCGGATGGCGGCCGGACAGGGACTATGTTTATTTATTTCCCGGCACCGCGGCGGGGCCGGGATGGCGGCCGGACAGGGACTATGTTTATTTATTTCCCGGCACCGCGGCGGGGCCGGGATGGCGGCCGGACAGGGACTATATTTCCTGGCACCGCGCGGCCGGGGGGAGCGCCAAGTTGTGGAACGGCCCCGGCGCGCGCGCGCGGGTGCCCGGATGGAGCGGGGGGCGGAGGAGGGAATGGAGGGGGGGGGGGGGCGGTCTCGCGGCCCCGCGCGTGCGCGGAGCGGTTCCGGCCGCCGCCGCCGCCACAACAAAAGTGGAGAGGGAGGGGCAGGGCCGGGGCTGAGGGCGGGAGAGAGGAGACAGGGGCAGAGACAAGGGTAGGGATAGGTGACAGGGCCAGAGATAGGGATAGAGACAGGAACAGGGACGGGATGCAGAGGGGACGGGGATGGAGATAAGGATACGGGATACGGACAGGGACAGATACGGGGATAGGGACAGGTACAGAAATAAAGACTGGGATAGGGACAGGCAAGGGCTGCTACAGGGATAATGACAGGGATAGCTGAGAGGGAGAGGGATAGAAGACAGGGCCAGAGATAGAGATAGAGACAAGAATAGGGACAGGGAATTCAGAGAGGGATAGAGATGAGGATACAGGATACGGACAGGGATAGAGATGAGGATAGAGATAAGGATATGGGATACAGACAGGGACAAATATAGGGATTGGGAGGGGATAGGGACAGGTACAGAAATAAGGACAGGTAAGGGCTAGTACAAAGATAGTGATAGGGATAGTTGAGAGGAAGAGGGATAGGAGACAGAGCCAGAGATAGGGATAGAGAAAAGACTAAGGACAGGGAATTCAGAGAGGGATAGGGATAGGGATAAAAATAAGGATACGGGTTACGGATAGGGTTAGGGGCACGGACAAATACAGGGATTGGGATGGGGACAGGGACAGGTATAGAAATAAGGACTGGGATAGGGACAGGCAAGGGCTGCTACAGGGATAATGATAGGGATAGCTGAGAGGGAGAAGGATAGAAGACAGGGCCAGAGATAGAGACAAGAATAGGGACAGGGAATTCAGAGAGGGATAGAGATGAGGATACAGGATACAGACAGGGACAAATACAGCGATTGGGATGGGAATAAGGACAGGTACAGAAATAAGGACAGGCACTGGCTAGTACAGGGATAATGATAGGGATAGCTGAGAGGGAGAGGGATAGAAGACAGGGCCAGAGATAGAGACAAGAGAGTCACAGGGTCTGGGAGGGTCACAGGGCAGTGCATCTGTTTTACAAGGTTCCCCACCCACCCCATACACCTACTCCTCACCAGGACAAGCTGCTGTACCTCACTGCTGGTGTCCTCGCACCCCAAAGTGTGGTGTCAAACCTGGGACACGTCAGAAAGCAAAATCTAACTAGGGGTTGTAAAGTCGTCTGGCAGATGACATAGGTTCACATCTGCAGCTAAGGCAGAGCACAAACAGGATTGTAGTACCTCATTGGGGAAGGGATGGGAGTGTGGGACATTTGGACGTGGGACCTGCTCAAATAAACCTGCAACTGAGGGATGGTGATGCAGATCCTCTGACTATTTAATTCATAAATAACAGCAGTGATACTCCAAACTGGTTGACTCAAGCAGATGCTCCAGTTCAGCCAAGTCAAGTCATGGTTGCGTGTATTGGTAAGGGATCTGAGTGCCACCAGGTCACCCTGCACCACAGATGTGCTCCAGATGTGTCCAGGTGTGGACAGAAACACATCACCTTGACATCACCTCTCTTCCATGACCATGTGACAAGGCTCCAGGTCCTACAGACAGACCTCACCTGATGCAGCATCAAATCAGCTGCCAACTTTTTAAAAATAGATTCAAACCAGCAGCATGAATGTATATTAAGTCAGTGTTTTACCATGCAGCTGCAGTGTTTTCCATGCAGTAATGGGAGCTGTGCAGTTAGATTTGCTGCTGTCTTGATGCATGGCTGGAGTAGGATTGGAAGCCAAAAACAATGCTCACAATAATTTTACTAATAACAGTCATAATTTAGGGCACCTTTTAGCCAATGGAATGCTAGGGACTAGAATTTGGGTGTATACATACTCCACTCCTGCACTGATTGAACACTGCTATTTTATTCAACCTGCGCTGAAACACAAAGCTGAAACTCAGCCTAAATCCTTAGTCAGTATTTAAAACACCACTGTGCTACTGTTGTGCTTGGATGTCAATTTTAACACGTTCATCTCAAAACTATTTAAAGACACCAATATATACCAAAACCAACTTACATCAACTATATTAAAACTGGTTTGAGACATAATGTGTTGTGAGTCCAAAACAATGTACCCAATTCCCATTAAACTTCTCAAACATATTCTGTTCAAGCATAGCACAACTTCTTACACTAAAATCACTTGAAGATTCATGGTGAAATATTCTTAGCCTACCAAAATTAGGAGTAAAGTCTAAACATAAATTTTCTATTAACCTTACTTGGATACTGATAAGTATGAAAATCTTTCAATATCGAAGCAATATTACTTCTCATGTGTTCTGAACAAAGGTATTTTGTAGTGTTATACACAACAAAAGCAGGGCTTTGCCAAGTCATTTTGTAAATTGTGAAGGTTACCTTTGTAACCTCTGGTTATCGGAGAGCAAAGCTTCCGTGAGTTTGGCCATCAACTAAAGCTGATTAAACTAGTAAAGTATGATTTCTTTATGTGTTAGTGGTTAATTAATTGACATTATGCCGGTTGATTTATATTAATGCATATTCCATTGGTAGAGCAAAGAGTCTTTTTCTTACCATTATAAAATAGTCACTTGCTGACCACAACACAACTAGTGATTCCTGTTACCTGACTTCCTGCAAAGACGTGTATGGGTTCATGAAGTGACTTAATGTGACATTAACTGCGAGGGGTGAGGATTATCATGTCATCCCCCCCACAGCACTGTGATGTCAACAGGAAAAGTTTAGAAACTTTTTTAACCTGCCTACCATTCAAAAATCACTTTATGCATCTTCAATGCTACTATGGTGTGCCACAAATTTTAATATAAATATAAATTATCAGTTATAAATTATAAATTATAACCCACAATGAAACGCATTGCTTTTCAGTTTTTGATGCTGCAAATACTGTTTTCTAGTGAAGTTGTGCAAAATACATTAATCTGACAAATACATTTATGCGATAACATTATGCAATCACCTAGGAAAATGTTAACAGCTTTATGCAATTTACTTGAGGATTACGATGGCAAAAATCATCTTGCTTGCAAGAGCTCAGGGGACTTCCATCATTCCTCTGCAAAAGGAACAGCTACAGTTTAGCTGGGAAATGCAAAGTGAATTGGGGTGTGAGTAGGATGGCTGGCAGTGTTGCAGGTGGGTTTGCTTAAACACAGAAATTTATGGTCAGTGCTAAACATAAAAAGATAATTTTGAATGAAATGTCATATGTCATGTGATTAAACACATTTTTCATAATGTCCTGAAAAGATTATTCTTGCTCTTAGAACTTGTGGGACTCCAGAGGTCCTTCAGAAGAAACTGCATCCCTTCTTTCTCCTCCTAGGGTGGTGGACAGACACCATTCAGAGCCTCTAAAGGGACTTTTAGAAACAAAACTACTCTGCAGTGCTGGAGAAAAGATGTGTGCTCTACAGCAAAATATAAACATAGCTTTTTTTATTGCCAGAAGTATTTTAGTTTCTGTATGACATTGTTTGGATGAGAACAAAGAGGCCAATTTTACAAGCACTTGTGAAAAGTTTAAGGCATGTGTATCACTTTCACAGTCCTTGATAATAAAGTTACTTATGTGCACAAGCATTTCTAAATCAGAACCTTTATCTGCTAAAAGTTATTGCAGAAATGTATTGACAGATTGATCTGTCTGCTGAGGTTATCTAAAAAGGCACGGTACAGTATCAAGAGAAGATCAATAAATAGCACTTGTAACAATATTTCCTGCATCCAGAGACTCAGGACCAAAGACTCAAGACACCCAAAACTTTTTTCTTCCCATGCATCTAATTGCAGACAGCCAGGAACCCAACATCTGGGAGTTGAATCTCACATTTCAAGTCCCCACAAGGGCTGACAATGTTCCTCCCTTATGAGATATAACTGATTCAGAACAGACTTGCAAATTTACAGAGGAGAGCAAGGCACTAAATTATTTTTGGAAATACTGTCTTTCATTACATTAACTTTTTATTCTAAATATCAAACTTATTTTTTGTGTGCTGCTGCTCATATATCACCTACTCTGCAGTGTCTGGTAAAGTGAATGAGCATGATGCACTACACGGGATTTTTGTGTTCATTTTCCCTGGGAAGAGTTTTTAAAAAAAGAGTTTTCTTCTGAGTCAACTCTTTTAAAAGAACATTTTGAATCTCTCTAAACAT